ACGTTTCACCAGTCTCTGTGGCCGGCATCTTCAGATCTGTCCTCTGAAGATGCCGGCCACAGAGAATGGCGAAACATTAGGAAGAACAAACTTCAGAATACGGCCAAAGAGCCCGAAAAACCTACAACAATCATTAGATCCCGGCCGTGAAAGCCTTCGCAAATACATTTTTATCTTTTGTTTGACCACAACTTTACTGTAGTATATACAGTGTGCGCAATAACAGTGCAACAGATGTAATTGCCACCCTCAACTTGCCCAGGCGTCTCTCTTGTCTGTGCTACTCCATAAAGTGCTAAGATCATGGGCAGACATCATAAATTGGCAGTTTCACAGTATGAATCTGTGACCTAACATTTTGCTTTGCTTTTAAACAGTAAGCATTTATTTGAAGATCTTTTGTCAATGTTTCACCGTTGTCCTCTCCTCATTTGGGGAATTAGCAAAGTGTTTTATTTTGTTTTTAAGTGCATGAGCACTTACAAAATTCTGTGATGGAGTCAGGAAGACAGGGTAAACTTTTCATTTAACAACAGGAAAAGCAGAGTGATTTAAAAAAAAAAAGAACTTCGCTTGGAAGTTTTCTTGCAATTCTCCTTCAGCTGCCGCCATTTCTGGATAGCAACAATGCAGTTCCTTTATGCCTGTCCTGCTCACTTCTCTGACAGCACTTAGAGGGATGGAGTTTTCTGAATTAAGGAACCCCCCCAGGCCTGTAATTTTTCCTGGACTATTCACCACTCAGTTTTGGGACTAGGAGTTCATTCATTCCAAACATCCCATCCTTGAACAGTTAAACTTGCAGGAGTGGTCAACTGTGGCCCTCCAAAGGTTATTGGGCTGCAATTCCCGTAATCCCTTAGTTGTGCTGGTTTGATCTGATAGCCTTTGCAGTCTAGTGACATCAGAAAGGCCAGAGTTACCAAGCTCTGTGTTAAAAGGTTCTAGCAGCATTGTTATATCCGGAAACAAAACTTTGTAATGAACAATTGAGAGAGTTCATTATGTTAAGCCTGGAGAAAAGAAAGATTTAAGAGATGAAGAAGCCATCTTCAAATATCTGAAGGTTGTCATGTAGGATTTCTGAATGAAGCAGATTATCTAGACCCATTTCAGTCTGGTTTCAGGCCCTGCTATGGGATGGAGGCAGCTTTGATCACCTTGGTGGATGACCTAAGATGAAGAAGCCATCTTCAAATATCTGAAGGTTGTCATGTAGGATTTCTGAATGAAGCAGATTATCTAGACCCATTTCAGTCTGGTTTCAGTCCCTGCTATGGGATGGAGGCAGCATTGATCACCTTGATGGATGACCTACACCAGGAATAGGAAAAGGAGGTGTGTTTACAAAGAAATTGACAGAATATTTGACCTTAAGTGTTGTTTGGTAGTAGAAAAGATTATCAGGAACTGATGGGACTCTCCTCCTTTGGAAGATTTTGAACAGTTTGGATGGGATACTTTGAACTGTGGATGGATTCCCTGCATTGTCATTTGATTGGAATGGATGATCCTTGTGATCTTTTCCAGTTCCAAAAATTCTGTGATTGCAACTTGGAAACTGATTTAGTCCCTGATTGCTTACTAAGATATGAGTTCCTAGAAAGCAAGGATTAAATTACAGTTTTCTGCATAGAAAATGAAGAGGAAGCTGGTTTATTCAAGCCACAATACCCATAGTGATGCTGTTTAATCGGATGGGCCAAGGAAGAGGGCATTTGGGCAGTTCATAAGATCATGTGCCAGTGACCATGATTTTATGCATTTATAATGGTTGTCCTCCTTGGTTTCATGAAAGGTGCTCTCATGCTTGCTCTATTTTTTTTCCCCTGGGATCAGTCTTGTATCTAATTTTCTTTCTTTTCCTATTTCCCTCTAGCTAAAGGGGGGGCTAGTGGGAGAGGGGCTGCTAACTTTCAGGGAGTCTGCTGACTGCTGTTGTTTCAGACTGCAATGTCTGGTTGATGCTATGGGTGCCTGTATTCTGTGGAGGTACATACTGATTCTATGCCTCTCCCTCATTTCCGTCACAGTTTTAGAGATTTAAGGAAGGGAAAACGAAGCTTTCCAGTGATGTTTTGTTAAGAAAAGAGCTTCTTCTCCTCCCGTCTGAATCTGACTCAGATCCTTCCATTGAGCCATTTAGTTGGTTGGCTGCAGGCACACCTCCCAGTCCCTGTTGTTAGGCAACCTGAACAATGTGGCTGCACATGCAGGCTGGGTAACTGGATTGTCCTCTTTCTCTCTTGAATAATCGCTTCACGTTTTTGCTCTCTTTCTCTTGAAACCAAGATGTGTCCAGGGTGCAGTGACAAGTTCTGCAGTGAGAATACTAGAATAATTAAGAAGAGATTAAAAGAATAATTTGCTTGCTGTTTCAAGGACGGGTGTTAGGAGAAGAAAGTTACAGGATTGGTATTTTCAAAAAGCAGTTACCTAGGATAGACAGGTCTAATTAAGATGCTAAGAAATTGCTTCTTGACAGTTGGTGGTAACTGGAGATTTAATAGTGGTACACCTGCTGGTTTTATGAAAGCTTGCAGAAAGTGCAATGACGATGGTTTTCAGCCTGAGAGAGTCCAGCTATGCAGCATATGGTTTCTGTTGAGAAGGCCATTAAACAAATCTCTGCTCCTCTGAGACGCCTAAATAATGCGATTGATTTGAATGGTGTGGAGGGTGTTCTAGGGGTTTCCAGAGCCAGAAGTGATCAGCAACACACGCAATAATGCCTGTCATGAAATAGTGACAGTCTCGGTCATTTTAAAAAACCAAGTATATTTTTAGCTGTTGTAACAGCAGAAGAAACTAGGGGGGTTGGGAGAGTGAGCATATTGTAACTACTGTAAGTGATCAGAGAGTTACAGGAAGTTTAAATTCCATGATTCAAATAGCAACATTGGTTTGTATGATAGAGATGGCAGGTAGTCATTGGCTGAAATCCTGTTAAAGCTGGTGTAACATAAAAGTTATATCTGCAGAAGGAGCCTCATGGTGCGGTGGTTAAACTGCAGTTCTACAATGAAAACCCTGCTCATGACATAGGTTTGGTCCCAGTGGGCTCAGGTAGCCAGCTTGAGATTGACTCAACCTTCCAGCCTTATGAGTGTGGCAAACCAGTGGTTATTAACCTGGGCGATATCACTCCTCAGGGGGCGATTTTGTTTTTCAGGGAGGCGATGGAATGAAAAAGGGGTGACGCGGGGGCAAAGGAACAGAAGGGGCAGCGATATGGGGGCAATGGAGCGAGCCAAACCTGAGAAGGTGCTGGCAGCGGATCCGGCAGGCGGATCCAGAGCAGCTGGTGCTGGCGGTGGATCTGGTGCTGCCACTGCTGCCGCCAAACCTGAGAAGGCGGCTGCAGCCGCAGTGCTGGCAGCGGATCCGACAGGCAGATCCAGAGCAGCTGGTGCTGACAGCGGATCCGGTGCCACCGCCCATCTATCTTGCGGGGGGGAGGGGGAGGTGCTGAATATGTAGTCTGCGTATTTGAATTGTAAACTGCCCAGAGAGAACTTTAAGCACTGCGGGGTGGTGCATAAGCAGCATGCCCTGCGTAGCTGTTACTTTATTCCCAGGCAGCCAAGCATGGTGCAGTTTCATTGCAAAATCCATCTCCAGTTCACATCATGACTGTTTTGCAAAAATGCTTTGTGGATATTCCTTCTGATCTGCTGCAGTTTTATTCTACCACTTCCGCAGCTTCATGTGGCATGCACACACATAGCTGCACAACAGGATTTCAGCCATTGTGTTTTAACCACTTATTTGAACATAGAATATGAGAATAACAGGTGTAAATTGCTGCTGCCTTCCTATTTACCAGTGGTATGAATCACCTCCTTCTTGATTAGGAATTGAATCTTTTGCAAAAGTAGCTGTTGGTGTCACAAATAAGCAATCTGTTCGTCTTCAGGTGGCTAGAAATGCATGTTTTTGCTGCATCAGGCTAGCACAGCTGACTGTCTAGTTGCAGATCAACTTCCTTAAAAGCAGCAGCAGCAGCAATGCCTTTATGTGTTAGTAAACTTTTTGGGTGGATCTGAAAGCAAAATCGGCCAAGGGAATTTATACGAACTAAATGGCAGTTGTTCTTTCCCCTCAAAACTTTGCTGCCTGAGGCAGTGTTCTTGTGCTGCCTAACGGTAAGTGTGGCCATGTTTGTCGGGCTAAATTTGGCATCAAGTAGATGGTATGCCAGCATCAAGAGGAAATTTCTTCCCTTTGAAAGTTACTTCAACCCCAGGACGTCTTTCCCTGGGGACATCATGTAATATTTGGGCCTGCAACTCACACCCAGCATGACCAACGGTCGGGGCTGGTGGGAGCTGTAATGCAAAAGATCTGCAGGGAGGGAAGTTCCCCACCCTTGCGGCAGAATATCTCCCTTGGGTCCTTGCCAGGAAGAATAAAACAAGTGCCTGTCAGAGTTGCTTTAAGCCTCAACCATCCTTTCCCAGTTCGAAAGCTATAATAACTGGAAGAAACCATTCAGTAGCTCTGCCCTGGTTCTGTAACTGCTTTACTGCTTGTGTTGTTGTTCTATAAGTTTATTCTGGTTCATGGTAAGCATACAGGTTGAATAATTGAATTTAAAATTGTGTATATTTGCTTACATGGCATGGAGTATTTTGACTGCAACATATAAATCTGTACCTGGAAATGTCTGGGATTTTTACAGCACCACCGAGTCGTCCAGATGATTTTTCCTTTTATACGGCATGCTGCCTTTTCACTGTGCACCACACAAATCTGCTTGCATCTCTTTGAAATCTACATCTTTTGACAACAAGTCAAGTCTCTGAAAGGAAATATCGTTATATATGTTGCAGGGGAAATGTTCCTAATAAAGATAGTTGATTTTTTCCCCCCTAGGACCAGCATATGTCTCATTTTGAACATCTGCATTCTAGCAGGATTCAGCTGTTCCAAAATAATGTGATACACAGTTCATTTATTTTCGTTTTCCCCCTTTTTCTTCTCTCCCCCCTTGACAATAGGTTCAGTAAGCTGAGGAGCCTTAACCTTTCTAACAATCACTTAGGAGACTTCCCATTGGCCGTTTGCAGCATTCCAACCTTGACTGAGCTCAACGTGTCCTGCAATGCACTCAGAAGTATTCCAGCAGCCCTTGGTGATATGAGCAAGTGAGTACACATTGCAGATGGCAAGGGCAGGACGAGCGCTGGGCATGCCAATTCCTTTTGGCTGGGTTATCAGCCCAAGTCGTGCCTTCATTGGAGGGAATGTGTGTGATGAGTGTTTGCAAAAATGCCCATTGGTATGAGTGTCTTTTTCTTATTTATGCACGTACAAATATCTTCCTCTTGTAGAGTCGTATGAAAGAAATGGGTTCAGTTAGGGGATGAAGTGGAGGAAGGGATGATTTTGTAGTTCTCCCAGATAGCACCCTCCAACAGTTTACCCAATCTATCTGTGAAGTCTTAAATAGAGGTTTTTGTGAAAATGTAAGGGGCAGATATGAAGGAAATGTAATAGACTCGTTTATCCTCTGCTAATGCCTCAGGATTAACTTCATACCCCTTAGAAAGGGGAATAGCATATGGCCCCAAAACTCATCCCAATTAAGAGCTAGTTTACATTTAATGGTGTGGGTACATTACCATTTGTAGAATGAAGGAGAGGCATGTATTTATTTTATTTAATTGAGTTAATTTAAAATATTTTTACCCCACCTTTCTCTTTAAGAAGGACCCAAGACAACTTATATCATTTACAATATTTAAAGCTAAAAACAGTAAGTATACAAATACTAAAAGGATTAAATAAATACCACCCTAAAATACAGTAAACAAAAGCAATACCAAAACACATTCAAAGCAGTAAGGCACAACCATCCATTTAAAAAACCCAGTCAGATAGCTAGTCATTAAAAGAAAGCTTGCCTAAAGAGAAAGGTCTTTGCCTGCTTGCAGAAGGATAACAAAGATGGGGCCAGGCTGGCCCCCTGTTGGAAAGAGTTCCAGAGTCTGGGAGAAGCAACAAAGAAGGCCCTCTCCCATGTCCCCACCAACGTCTATAAGGGTGGTGGGACTGAGAGAAAGGCCTCTCCTCTTGTTCAAAGCACTAGGTCCCAGGAATTCCTTGCTGGTTGAGAAAGTTTTAGTAAGACTCCAGAGCTAAGAAGCATGTGTATTCAGAGTGTCCTTGAGTAAAGAACTCTTTGAAACATACTGTTCCTTAGTAAAACTTGGTACTTTCGGTCAATTCATCTGCCTCTTGTTTTTGCAGTACAGTGGTGCCTCGCTAGATGATGATAATCCGTTCTACTGAAATCGCTGTTTAGCGAAATCATTGTTTAGCGAAAAGCATTTCTCCATTGGAATGCATTGAAACCTGTTTAATGCGTTCCAATAGGAAAAAATTGTCGTTGTCTAGTGAAGATTGGCCATAGGAAAGCCACTTTGCGAACCGCCGATCAGCTGTTTAAATTGCTGTCTTGCAAAGCTTACGTCCCGAAAACACCTGTTTTGTGAGCGGGGAGGAAGCTGTCAAAATCATAGTCGAGCGAAAATCGGTTTGCGAAGCAGGGACCAAACATTGTACAGTGAAATTCCCCCATAGGAATCACTGTTTTGCGAATCACTATAGCGATCGCAAAAAGTCAATGTCTAGCGAAAAAAACTGTCATGCGGGGTAACTGTCTAGTGAGGCACCACTGTAGATGCTGTAGCAAACTCTTCTATCATGCGAACTGTGAATTGGGATCAAGAGTGAGAGGATGCAACTGAGCTGCCTATGTCTGTACCCCTTCCGTACTGCAAATGGCACAAGGTTGCTTCTCTTGTTTGGTCCTTTTGTAAGATAGTTTTCTTTTTCATCTGAACTGCTCCTGTGTTTGCACTGAAAAAACCCCTCTGCTCTTGGTCTGTGGTCAGATGGTTGAGTAGACTTCCCATTAGTAGCATGTCCCAATCAAAGACCACCATTCTGTGACAGAGGCTATTTGGGGATCAGACAACTCCTTAATAGCTTAATTTATATAAAGCAACGAGAACCTAAGGCATTTCTCTGTGGTGTTCTGATTAACATAGGAGGTGCTTTGTGGTCCCATGAGGATAGCAATATCAGAGGGTTTTTTTCTATGCCATAACAGAAATGGAAGCCATCAAGCTTTTGAGCGCCTGATACTTGTATCATGTCACAGTAAACAAAGAAGCAGTATTTTGCTATGCCCACTCCCAGGTTACAATATATTGCATACTTCATATTGCAATATTACCAAACATACATATTTACACTTACAGTCCTTGTAGGATTCAACTGTATTGATCACAAAGGGTGTATTGAAGATAGAATTTCAATAGATGTTTGAAAATTCCGCCTTTTAAACTCCATTAATAGATATAGCAAAGCTAAAAATATGGCCCTGGAAACAAAATTTAAAAAATACAACAGGATAGCAATGCTATGCAAATTTTTACTGATTTCTCCCACATTGTGATTTATTTTGCTCAGTTTAATAGAATTTGAAGAGAAAAGGAGAATAAAGTATGGATAATTGGATATAGGCTTTAGTTCTTATTGAGCCATGGAGTAGCTTTTGGGCAATACAGTTGAAATTACAGTGGTGCCTCGCATTACGATGTTAATTCGTTCCAGCGAAATCGCTGTAGAACAAAAATGTCGTAATGCAAAAATAAAAAGCCCATTGAAACGCATTGAAACCCCTTCAATGCATTCCAGTGGGCTAGAAACTCACCGTCCAGTGAAGATTCTCCATAGGGCGGCCATTTTCGGTGCCTGTGCAGCAAGGAATCCATCCCAGAAAACAGCGGGGGGCCATTTTATTTACTCAGCGGCCATTTTGAAACCGCCAATCAGCTGGAGGAAAATCGTCATTTTGCGAAGAATCGGTTCCCGAAGCAGGGAATCGATCATCGCAAAGCGAAAAAAAGCCATTCAGACCATCGCAATTGCGATCACAAAAAGATTGTCATAATGCGGTTTCATCGTAATGTGGGGCAATCGTAAAGCGAGGCACCACTGTATACTCCTTTTCTTGGTTCTCTTCAAGGAATTGTGAGTTGGATACTAGATTACATCATCCCAAACTTGCCCCACTTTGTCCATCCATGTCTTTACTGTGATTAAAATGAAATTCAAGCAAGATTTTATTGGGATTTTTTTTTGTACTAGGTGTTAAGTTCCCTTTTAGTACTGTTTGAGATTTGCTAGATGCTCACAATCCCTTGAACATCTGCCATTACATAGAGTTGAGGCTAGCAAGAGTTGAGACTAGCAAGGATGTGGAATCTAATTCCTCTTGGCTTTGTTTTATCTTCAACAAAGACCCTTCTGGACTGACTATGAATTTGAAACCAATCTGTTTTTTCTTACTGGAGCTCCTTCCCTCTCTTAGACTTACTGGAGGATTCTAGGAATCTCTGGAAGTAGAAGTAGCAGGAATATAGACCAGGAAGGGTGCTTTCATCAGTAGCATTGAGTCATGTCTAGAACCTCGAGCTTAGAAACTTTTGGCGTTCTGCAAGCCAAGTGAACAAAAGCATTTCCTTAAAAGGTGATAGAGCATATTTTTAGGGAATGTTAGTAGGTATGCAGGATTGAAGCTATGAAAAGCTTTTGAACATATGTAATGATGTTTTGACTTGATTAAGCAGTTTACAAGCAATGCAGTTGCTGCAGGTTAAAATTAGGAAAACATAAGACACTATTGTGATAAATATCCTCCCTGTGTCTCTTCTCTTTAACAGTTTGCAGACCTTTCTGCTGGATGGGAACTTCCTTCAGAGCCTTCCTCCTGAATTGGAAAAGATGCACCAGCTTAGCTATCTCGGTCTTTCTTTCAATGAATTCAGTGACATTCCTGAGGTGCTAGAGAAGCTGACTGCGATGGATAAACTCTGTATGTCTGGGAATTGCATGGAAACACTCAACTTGCAGGCACTGAAGAGAATGCCCCACATGAAACACATAGATCTAAGGTAGGGACTCTCTAAAAGGCCAAGTAAAACTACAGGATGAAATAGCTGTTTTGGTAGATATTGACAAGGCAGAGTCAGCCCCTCTTGTTAATTTTGCTATGTTTTATTTTGCTGTGCTGATAGCTAAGGCCATATTATAGACTTCTCTAGCTGGTCTATGGCTTCCATCATATCCACTACGGCTAATGGCTGGGGATGATTTGAAATTGTATCCCAAGATATCTGGGTGCACCATTTTGGGATAGGCTAGTATGGCCCATCACACATGACTTTCCAAAAACCGTACATATGGGACACTGGTGGAGATATCATCATCAGATAAGGCAAGGCAGGCAGGTGGGTAGCTGCTAACTACTCCGTCCTAAATAGCTTTTGTGGAAGATGAATGAGAGTGCCTAACGGCCCTAACCCATATTAACTGGGTGTTGTCTGCCTACCTGAACCACCATGAAATTAGAATTAAGGTGGACGGTAGGGGCTTGGCCATCGTAGAAGATCACTGATTCTTTTTTATGGTGTCCATGTATGCACGCAAAATGGGTGTGTGTGCTTGCGCAGCACCGCTTTGGAAGATTCCAAAGCCTCAAAAATGAAAGTGCCTTAGCTTATACCGTGCAATTGTGGCCCTGCTTTCCTCAGTCCTTTTTTGTCCATCACTGTGACATCACAGAAGGACTGCTTCAGAACCTCACTTCACTTACCTTCATTCCTACTTGATACGTAAGTCTTCCTTTTTATTTCTTCATTCTCTTTTCTTGGCTAGAGAGAGAGAGGGTTAGTTCGTAGAAGGTCTACCTTCCTCCCTTTTCTCCCAAGGATTTGCCATCCTCTCTTTTCCAACTATTTATGGCCACTGCCCTTATGAAAAAGTGTGCCACTTGTGGCAAAAAGATTCCCCAGTTGGACAGGCATGATACTTGCTTATTTTGCCTAGGGGAAGCCCATTTAGTTCAGTTCTGCAAGATCTGTAAGAGCTTTACTGCACTTACCCTCAAGAATCGCCAGCCTGGGCTTTGATCTTTCCTTTGGGAGCAATCCCTGTGAGTTGCAGATCCTCCTCCCAGAGCGATTCTGAGCCCCCAAAATGGATCAGCCAGCTCTTGTCTGCAACAGCCATAGAAGTGGAGTCTGTCACATCATCTTCCTCAGACGCTATCAAAATTGAAGAAGAAATTGGAGCACAGCACCTGCAGACATATAGCAGCCCCTGATATAGAGGTGTCAAAGAGAAGAAGAAGAAGCAGAAGCCTTTTGATGCTGCTGAAGCCATGGTGATTTCAGATCCACAGTTGTCAATTTGATAATCCACCTCTATTCTCACTACCAATGCCCAGTATATGGTCTTGGTTTCAGAGGGTGAATGCCTCAGCCCCTTTGTGCAGAGTGTTGCCACCTCGCCAACAGCACCATCACCTTGGAGCCTATTGCAAGAGCAGTCTTCGCGTCCACTGTCCTAGGATGAATGGTGATTGAAATCAAGATCCCTCTCCTTTACTCAGTGATCTCCATGCACGACATACCACAGTTGGGAGAGTAGGAGGTCAAGATAGTAATCATTCTCTCAATTGGCACCACATCAGTATCGACCACGCTACTCAAGTTCACCATCAACAAGCTCTCAATATCGCGATATATCTTTCTTCTGCCTTCCTCGCTTCGTGTACAGGGACTTAGGCTATCCTTCTCATTCATACAGGAGCCGTTACCGATGTCAAGGCTACAGCGGATCCTGATTGCACACACATGCTTGTCCTTGAGACACCTATGCTGACATCCCACAAGACTGGTCTCCCTGGAGCTAAGAGTGCTGTCTTGAGTCCCATTCTTGTGGAGACTCTCGAAATCTATCTCACAATGCATTAGCTCAGTGAACAGGAAGGAACCAAGTCACTAAGCCTCCTCTATCTCTCAGGACTTATATGGGAATGGTGCATTGGCCACCAGATTCTCCCCCTAGCAACTTGTGTCTCAGATACAGACAATGAAATGGCAGACCTTCTTAGCCACACAATGACTCTCACACACAGATGGGAACCCTCCCAAAAAGTATGCACCCAACTAGTCTCCCACTGGGACAAGCCCACATTGGACATCTTCGCCAGTGTTACCAACTCCTTGTTAGCGTTCCCAAGCAGGCAGTAGTGTAAACTCTGCTTGCTTTCAACATACACTGGACTGGAACCCTCCTGTACGTGTTCCCACCCTTCCCTCTGATCCAACAGATGCTCATCAAGATCCTCCAAGATTGCTCTGACATGATACTCATCATCCCATGGTGGCCTTGTCAACAGCGGTTTACGTACCACTCTCCTCCTCAACTACTAACTGGTAGCGAGACCGAGCAACATACTCCATCCAGACATCACGCGCCTGATCCTCACTGCTTGAAGGATGCTCCTGTCTTCGCAAATATCCTAAGCCAAGCAAGACATCCTTCCACCAACTGCCTATATGCATATAAGTGGAAGCATGTTTTGGTTTAAGGAACTGTGAGACTGGTAAGCAAAGATCCAAGCCTTCTATGCATCCTCACAGGGTCTATCACATTCACCGGTATCCCTCTCCACTGTCTTAGCCTTCCTCCCCCACCTCAAGCAAAAGAAACTTTCCATCTCCTCTATCAAGGTCTATCTGGCAACCATAGTGGTGCATCAACGACCCATCCTCACATCTCTACAAACATTAAACCATCAAAACATTCCTCAAGGGTCTCCAGAATGCCTATCCAGATGTGAGACTTCCTCGTGACCCATGGTCTCTCTCACTGGTTTTATCACAGGTCACTAGATTCCATTTTGAGCCACTGGCTAAAACTGATCTCTGTCTTTTAACGCTTAAGGTGGCTCTCTTTGTGGCCCTCACATCGGCCCATCAGGCCGCAGAGCTTACAGCCCTTCATTGTGATTCCCCATACCTCATCTTCTCGATAAGGTTACTCTCCACACGAACATTACTTTCCTTCCCAAGATTGCATCTCGTTTCCGCATTTCTCAACCCATTGTCTTACCTGCCTTCTTCTATCTGTCTCCGCAGAATGACCTGGTGCAGACAAGCCTTGGCATTTTGCCTAAACAGAACAAAGGACTTTAGACAAAGAACTAAACTCTTCATCTCCTACCAAAGTCCCCAAAAGGGACACCTGGTCTCTTCTCAGAGATTCTCCAAATGTATCACCCAGGCTGTTGCCTTAGCTTATGATCTGGCAAACAAGCCCCTACCTCGGACCTTCCTCAGTCACTCTTCTGCGACCTTCATCTGAGGTGTCGACATCCAAGAAATCTGTAGAGAAGCAACTTAGTTCAGTCCAGTGACATTTGTCACACACTACAGATTAGACCTCAGAGTTGGAGGGGCTGTTCTATCCTCTATTTTGGCATAACTTCCACCTCCAAGGTATAGCTTGCTTGTCATCTATTTTGTGTGCATACATGGACAGCATGAAAAAGAACATTTTGTTACTTACGTAACTTTGGCTCTTTGAGTGGTGATCCATGCATCCACACAATCCCAGCCACCTCCCCTCTTGTTCCGCCCTTCTCTGTTCTTTCCTTGAGGCCGACAATGCTCTGGAACTTTCCAAAGTGGTGTCATGCAAGTGCGCACACCTGTTTTGTGTGGATACGTGGATCACCATTCAAAGAACCATCGTCATGTAAGTAACCATGTCTTATCACAGCTCATACTTAAGGCACTGCTGTTTGCATTTGCTGCAACAGTCCTTTGAGTGAAAGGCAGCAGTGCAGCTGCAACAAAAATCAACGTTAATTTTGAAATATTAGCCATCTTCTTTTGTCTTGTATCAGCCACATTCCTAAGTCAATCAACTTATGCATTCCAGGTTCAAAAGATTACAGTATTTATAAAGTCTCCTTGGGGAGGATCTCATTATTTTGTATTACATTTGGACTGTGTACCTAATGAGGTTGAAGAATCTAATCTAGAAGATAAATTCTTGGGTGTTCCTGTGCATTTTGCATCACTTTAAATAGTATTTCACCATTCTAGAAGAAATTACCTTAACAGTTTCAGGAGAATAACTCCCTTTCCCATTGAAACATAGGTAACTCCTTAATCCTTTTTGCTAGTGCATGTGCTGCCATGAAAATGGCATGTGGTGCAATTTAAGGAAAGAGAGTAAATTATTTTTAATATAGTACATTTGCTGTCCTGGTCCTTCCAAGTGCTTTCATTGCACCCTGAAGCGTTGTTTTGATTATGTGATTTAATCGATCATGTCAGCTCTAGCACTGAGAATAAAACAGAAGTCTCCAGAGTACAATGAAGTTGTTCAAGTGGCTGCTTTTTAATAGATTACCTTTATTTTTTCAGTAAAAGGAGAGAGCAAAACCAGCTCTCTTAGCTTCTGTGCTTTCCATGTGCAGATTATGAGTGCGCCCCTTTTTTCATTCTTAGCCATGGGTCAACTTGACAGGTGTCAGAATGCATGTGAAAGCCATTAACTGTTAGTTATGCTATCTTGTCAAGCATGGGGAAGTTAGAATATTGGCAGTTCTGGCTGATTTTTCTTTTTGGGTGGGGGGAAATAAAGCCAAACTCAGAAATATACCACCAGTGAAGACTGGCAGTCATCTGAAATGAGAACTGTCAGCATTCACAGTGTACCCCCTCTTCCTTATCCACTATTTGTCAGATATACAACTTCAGTGAATGGGGACAATTGTATATTTCGTCTGGGTTTTCATAGGGGTGATCTTTAATGCCAAAGGAAGCAGACGATTAGTAAAAATATAGCCTGCTCATTTACTCACCCAAAGATATGAGCAGAAGTTAAGTTCAGACTAGTATTGGGAACCTTGCAATATTATGTCTAGCATTGAGTGGACCCTTTGATTGATCTAGGGGGCACCTGAAGCTGCAATGTGGTTAAAACCTAGTGGCAAAACTCTTTTTTACTAGAGTGGGCCTTATAGAATCAGTAGGGATTTGGTGAGTCATCTGTTCCATAAATTCTGTCGATTCCAATGGGCTTTCTCTAACTTCAACTTAACTTTTCACAATAAGCCATAACTGGAGTAGCTGGATTTGAATCAATTGAAGTCGGGTAAGAGGTGATTCAGCAAGACATCTTTGATTCAGTAGGCCTATTCTAGTGTGATTTGTTATGCAAGTTTTTGGCCAGTGGATGTTAAGAAGTGGGGGGGTCGGGTTCATCATCATAAGCTTTTGAACTTATAAAAATGGAGAAGGGTATTTCAGTTCCAGATTATGGCTGTTTTTTGGTTTAAGGAACTGTGAGACCGGTAAGCAAAGATCCAAGCCTTTTGATTTTCATTTTCAATGAGGCAAATAGCAATATTGCTGACTCTGGCTCCTTGTTTCCCACTCTTTATTCCAGGTTAAATGTAATAAGAAGGCTGGTGGCAGATGAAGTTGACTTCCTACATCACATCACCCAGCTTGACCTTCGGGACAATAAACTAGGCGAACTGGATGCCACCATCTTTAATAATGTTGAAATAATTCACTGTGAAAGAAACCAACTAGTGACCCTCAAAATCAGTGGATACTTGCTTAAAGCTCTTTACGCCTCTTCCAATGGTATGTCTGCTTTTGCAAAGCCTGTTCACATAAGGCCTATTATTTTTGACCCACTCTTCTTGCTGTTCATATGGGTTAGGCTCTGGAGTCAGCTAGTCCCCAGCACACTGGCAGGATGTAAAACGTTTAACCCAAGAAGGCTGAGGGACATTTTTCAGTTTTGCTGGCAGCCTGGAGGCCACACTCCCAAAGGGAGGATCTGAATGGGAGGGATGTTGTGAAATACTGTTTTCAGTGTTACTATTGTTATTTTTATTGTTAAATTTATTGTAGGGGTTATGTATAGTAAAGGATTTTACAATGGGCTTTTGTAACGGAAAATTCAAAAAAAAAATGTTTTTAATTGGAAAAGTCTCCATGCACCCACTAGTGGTCTAAAAAAACCCTTTTAAAAGATTTTTAGAAAACATTTGATAAGATTTGGGGTACTCCAGGGGTACAGGACATGCATCAGAACACAGCAGAATTTTCCTGGGGAACTGCATATAGTCCACAGGCTGCCTGTTGCCCTCCCCTGATGTAGCCAAAATGTTTTAGAGGACCACCCTGCCAATAGAAGTCTGTAAGTCTGGAATGAATGGTAACATTTATATTACAAACTTTCAGACATCTAGAGTGCTTCATATACATGATATAAGTAGAGTTAATCAGATAATCATTGACAAGGCTAAAGCATTCGGTGAAGTTGATTGAATTCCGTAGAGCAATGGGTGATTCCAGTCCAAAAATTTGGCTAGTTGATGTCAAGGTGAAATGCAGTCCCTTCTCCTTCCTCATAAATCTCCCAAGCTTCCTTTCTTCCCACACTATGTAGTCCCCTTCTTGTTGCTAAGGTCTTTGAGTTTCTTTCTCAGACTGTTTTTTTCTCCTGGCATCCTTCAGTGTCTTGCCTGTGAAGGCAGCATTTTCTTGCAATAACTGTCTCTTTCCCAATCAGTACTTAGGTTCCAGTTCACAATTTTTGGCTTGTTCTGCCCTCTTGGCCTCCTCACATTCTGTCCAGGTTCAAGTCCTTGGCTGCCTAGGACGATTCAGATCCCCTCCTCTCTATTAAATACACAAGAATAGTTGTGAGAGAATGTGGACTAGTTCTACTCCTGTTGGGGGCATAGACCACACTCCCAGCCCATGTGGACTAGTTCTGTTGGGGGCATAGACCACACTCCCAGCCACATGCATACTCAGTGAGTAAATGGAAGGTCTCTCTGCCTATGCTTATATATGTATACAGAGGCCCTCTCTGTGAAGAAGAGTCCTAACTGGGTCAAGATTCCCCTTCCTGTTGGAAGTGCGCTATATCTCTCTCTGTTAGTATGCATGGAGAGCTTCTTTGCAAGCTAGAAGAATACAAGAGGCATTCTTTTAGGCAGGTAGAATTCCCTTTTGGGCCTTGAACAGTCTTTTAGCTTTTCCTACAGCCTCTTTTTTATTCTTCTTAGCCCTATGCAACGTCTCCTTTAGTTCAAATTAATTTACCTCTTTCACCCTGGATGCTGCACTTCTAGCTGCCCTTTTACTGCTCACTGTACACCACTCTGACAATCAGAATGGCTCTGAATGTACCCAGTGGCGGGGTTGGGTATTTTGACAGAGATGGTATGAGGAAAATTGTGTGTGGCCTTAATGAAGACATAATAATAAACTTCCTCTTATTATGCAATAGATAAAAATGGTTCCGGCAAGAAACTACAGAGCAAATTGAACTACAGTAGAACACACACACAGCCGTTTTTTTTAAACCTCAACTGGCACTTATTGTTTCAATACATTCACTCTGGTAATCGAGAAACAATAAAAGATTTCAGTTTATTGACAGTTCTTATATAAAAACAAACATCATATTTTGTGGAAATGTTAAGTTCTTACATTACTGGGCTTAACTGCTTAATTTGCTTCATTATTAACTGACTGGTTACATTGTATTGCTGACAGAACACTTCATTCTGACTTCACTTCTGACTCCTTAACTAAGTAACGCAGAACACTAATCGGTAACTGACAGACTAACTGAATGGATGGTTAAAGGGCAGGAAAAAGAATCTGAGTTATGGAGAACACTATTGGCTGCTACCTAGTTGACTGACATTCACTGCAGCACCCCTCTCTCTCAAAGGCATCATGTGATGGTGCAATATATCAGCCAGAAATCCACATGGTTAAGCCACTAGCTGAGTTGCCTTATAGCTGACAGAGAAACTATTGCCAGCTGGCTAATATACATCCATTTTTGTGACCTTTCACTTCCTTTTGACTGAGTGGCAATGTGCCAGAACTTAACAGGGAAATTTGTTGTCCTCTGTTTGATTTGCAAGTTGGATTGAGCAATTTCTACCTGGAAAAACAGCTTGAGAAGAGTTAATTGCCTTGCATTGTTTATGCAAATAAAGTGGATATATATGACTGTATTTTGTGTAATTCTGTCTCTGCCGAGCATGAGAAGAACCTGTATATCCCCTCCTATTGGTTAGAAATCTTAATACTGTAGCTTGCTTGAAATAGGTAACAGAAAGTACCTATATGTCCCTGATTATGGAGCAGTACCTCTTCTTATTTCTCCTCCCCTTTGCCCTGTCTCCATGAAGAACAGCCTGGGAACAGATCCTTGGTTCATCACCCTCATAGTGATTGATTAATTGCCTGACCTCTCACCTCTTTTAAGCTCTTTTAAAAGACAAACTATGAACATTGCATGGGCTTGGATACATTCTACAGTTGAGCAAGGTTCCAATAAATGGCAGCACAATTTGGGATTATAAAGGAAGTAACTGTTCTTTGTACCTATATGAATTTTGCAGCTGTGGAACATAACTTTTAGTTTGTGCATAAAAAATTACTGTGGTTCTAAGTCAGCAATTAAACCTTAATGTGTGGGGTTAAAATGACACTTGGCTTCACTGCTTATCTAGGAATGAACAGCAGTGTAATGTAAAGTTACTGGTGATGCCTCCTTCCTTCCTTCCTTCCTCCCTACCTACCTACCTACCTACCTACCTACCTACCTACCTACCTACCTACCTACCTACCTACCTACCTACCTAAACAGAATGGTCTTAGGAAATGATAGTATGTGGAAAGAATCGCTGGCCTAGTTCTGACTGAGGAGATAAACCTGTGCCAGACTGTATTGTTACAGCAGACTGCAGATGGCAACTTGTGTGCTTTAAGGCACTCTTTGTTCACACGCAAGCAACCTTACACATATACATAGAAACGTATGTTTTCAGGATAAGGCTTAATACAAGGATGAGGAACATATTGAGGACAATATTTGTTTTGGACTAATCTGTCAGGCTGCATGGCAGGAGTGGGAGGGTGAGAACTCACTCTTAAGTAGATAGCCTTTCCCTCTTCATTTCCTTCCTTCCTTCCTCCTGTCTTGCATTTGGTCTTCCTTTCTGTCTCTTAAACCTGTTTGCTCTGAGAGTGTATCTACACTACAAAGTTATAGCAGGTTAATAATTCCTTTTACTGTCATATCGCCATCCTGGGATTTTTACCTTTTGTGAGGGACGTAAGAGTTCTCTTCTAGACATCTCTAGTGCCTCCCTCATGATTTACACCAGAGAATTTGGAGTTCTTTAGAACAGTGGTCCTCAACCTTTTCCAAACCACAGACCAGTTGGGGTGGTGGGGTCTGGAGGGGGCAGGTGCGCTTGTGGGTTGGCGGGGACGCACACTCATGTATGCGAGGGCAGGCAGGGGCATGCTCTCAGGGGAGCGGGGCATGCCCGCTCACACTAACGGGGTGGGCGGGCAGGGGCATGCATGCGGGTGGGAGTGCATGTGTGAGGGCGGGAGATCTGTCTCCGCGGCCTGGTCCTGCCAAAGCCATGGACTGGCACCGGGGCACGGACCAAGAGTTGGGGGGCCCTGCTTTAGAAGACTACAAGTCCCACAATTCCATAGGATGCAGTCATGGCAGTTTAAATGGAATTTCTCCAATATAATTATGTAGTGTAGATATACTCTCACATGTACCTCTTTTCCATCCTTGTGCCACTTTGTTCCCTCCTTTCCTTTGCCCACTCTTTCCTTTCTTAACTTTGACAGGTTATCTTAAGAGGGAGGAACTGCTCTTGCTACATGTGGGGATGGGACGTTTGGAGGTTGTTTTTGTTTTTTAATCACTAATTTATCTTAAGTCATTTCACTGTATGAACTCCCACCTGCTGTCTACAGTTGTACAGTCCAGTCACATGGATTTTCTTCATTGTTGTGACCTAGACCATAGAAATATCTTGGGCTTGAGCATAAAATATTCCTCAGCTTGTCAAATTTCAATTATGTTAGTTAGTCAAAGCAGTTTTAACACTGCCTTTTGGGAAAGTGACAGTAGGAAGAAAATGTTCCTCATTCATAGAGTTATGTCTCATATAATCTAAGGGAAAACAAAATAAAATCTTATTGGGATTTTGTATCTATAGAAATTCCTTCAATGCCTTACTAAAATGTTTCTTGCTTCTCAGTGTATGCAGTATATAACATGTATAATAGGTGCAACTGCTTTAATGAATTTGAGAAGAAAATACTGTAGTATTTTTAAGCCATTAATTTTTAAATTAATGTATGATCTGTCTTATTCCTTTTCCAGAACTTGTTCACCTGGATGTGTATCCAGTTCCAAATTATCTGACTTATATGGATGTTTCAAGGTAAGCATAATATAGTTTCAAGTACTACATCCTCTCCTTTTGCCTTCCATAACATGAGTTATTGTGGCTGAAACAAAAACCACTAGGCTTTAGCATTTCTCAAGCTTGGAGAAAGAGAGAGGAGTAAATAAACTAGTGATCAAAACTGGTCCATGTGTTTACATAACTCATTCCATATTTTCCCTCATCTCTTTCTTCTGACCCTATGGTTGGCTTTACATGTGGCCATTGCCACAGCCCAAAATAAAATAAACTGGAGATGTTTCCACATTTATATGAAGACCCTATGGCCTGCCACTAGTCTTTGAAGTTTCATTAATTTTACCTGCACATGGGCCAAAAAAAACAATGGGAGTATATGCTCTTTTTCTATATGTATTAAATTGGACTTTTCGACGTGCAACTGCTGAAGCTGAGGAGACACTCTCCCCTCCCAAGAATCTTATACTGTAGTTTATTTTCATAGTATGTTGTTTCTGCTATTATTGTTCTTCTGTGTTAGGGGTTCTTACATACTTTTACGGTACAAGCTTCAGTGAAATAGATCTGAATATCAAAGGTTATCACCCCACTGTTAAATATCACGTTGATTCACACATTCTGCAACTTTCTAACCAACCATCCATGATTTCTGGATTTTGATATTATGCATAAATGTATAGAAATTTGCCATGTTATCTCTCTCTTACGTCTGAGGAAATAGACTTTATCCACAGAGACTCACAATAAATTGTAACAGTTAGTCTTTAACATGCCATAACATTTTTGCCTTTTTTGTTTGTTCTTTTATTTTTAATTTTTCTTTCGTTTTTGCTTGTGATACTATACCTTGTTACTCGTCAGCTGAATTGGGCAGGGAAAGCTGCTGTTCTCTGGCTTCCAAGACTTTTGTTTTCCTACTGCCAGTTGTGATTTCTCAGGGATAGAGGAGGTATTCACTTTCATTCAAAATCCTGAATATAATGGCTTTTCTTCACAAAACAGGGCAGCATACCCGTTTTTGCCATTGTGAGTGCTTTAAAGACTGGTAACTAGTCCTGACCTCCTCACAGTATAACTAATCCAGCAGATTAATTGCTTGCATTTTATAGATACGATTGAAAAATGGATAAAACGTAGATTAAATGCCTGAATGAATCTATGCACAAATAAATGAAGTAGTACTAAAAATACATCTTTAGACTGTATACAGAATCTCCCCTGAGTCACAGGGGTTAATAAGAAAGTTCCTTCCAAATAATAATATATAACTTCAGGGTTGTAAAAGCAGATCTCTCATAAGATAAGAAGGGATGTAAATATATGTATAGAAGGAAGAAAAATTGATTTAGAAGGGATGGATACCCAGCTGTCTTGAATGCACAGGTCTACAGTGGGGTCTCGACTTACGAACGACCCTACTTGCGAACAGTTCAACTTACAAACCCGCCCTATAAGGGAAATAAGGACTTGACATACGAACTTCCCTCGAGTTACGGACAGGAAAAAAAGTGCCCCCTCCCTCCCCTTAGAGGCTTCTGGAGGGGAAAAAAGGGTCAGAAACTTTAAAATAAATAAAAGAAAGTCACTTACCAGGCCTTGGTAGCCCCCAAACAGCAGGAAAAAGAGCAGGAAACAGCTAAAAGCCCACACCAGAAGGGAGGTTGGCAGCCATTTTGTGCTTCCCCCCCCCTCCTGCACCCTCCTCTCCCCGCCTATCAGCTGATCGGCTGGCTCTGAAGAGGCTTGGGGAGGCTTCCTCAGCGCCTAAAAAGCCCGCCCGTGTGTCTTTGTCTTGAAAAAATCAGCACAACATGCTTTAAAACATGATTTAAAATTGGCTTCGTTGAAAAAAATAGATTTCTAAAGTGGCAGAAGGCGAAATAGCAGCTTCCCATTAGTTTCTATGGACGGAAAAGAGCAGATACAGATTAAATGGTTTTCAATGCATTCCTATGGGAAATGCAGGTTCGACCTATGAACTTTTCGACCTAAGACCCACCTTCCAATACGGATTAAGTTCATAAATTGAGACCCCACTGCATGTGTTTTCTCTCTATCTTGGTTGCTTCATTTCCCTTCTGTTCCTTGAAATACCCACTGAAGACAAATATAAACAACTATTTTAAAAAAAGCAACAACAAAAATATTTCAGTTCCCCTCATAGAATGCTGTATCTCATTATTGAAGCCAACACGACTATTGCACCAGGATTAAAGCAACATGATTTTAAACAGAGTAGTCTGTCTGCACTTTTAAGCAGTGGTGTATTTCTTCCCCCCCCCCCAGTAGCAAGCTTGGTTTGACATTGGTGGGGGGTGGGAGGCAACTGTTGTGTCTGAATGAGCACTTTGAATGAGACAAGGGTGTTGCCTGAGGGTGTTGCCAGTGACTTGAAACATATAAGCACATGAGTCAGTACACTTGCATGCCAGAATCTCATCAGTGTGTTTGCACGGATAAGTAATTATAATTTATTGGACATCACAGTTGTTCCTTATTTCTACAAGTCATGGTACTGAGAAATACTTGATTTCGCAATATCTTCGTGACTCTTATGATGCCTTGTTTTCATAACAAGACTAGTACTGAAAATATCTGTGATGCATGCATTTTCTCTAGAGAAACACGTTCAATTAATGTCTTACTTATTTCAGAACCAGTTTAATGGAAAATATATTCAAATATAGCTAATCCAAATAGTTTTTGCCCCTGTGAAGACACTTCCAGCTGGAAAAGCAGAAGGTGACAAATTGCATTCCCACATTACTATCTGAGCTGAAACAATAGGTGATTGTGTCAGGCCTATTGGTGAATAGGGATTGGATTTTTTTTTTGGACTACAAATTCCATAATTCTTTTATTCTGAAATTTTATCTGAAAGTTGAACACCTTACAGCCTAAAGTGGAAGGCTTTGAGCCCTAGCTTGACCTAGATCTGCCTAACTTCCTGATAAGAAAGAAAGCTTCCAGGTAGCACAGGGGCGAGTATCTGTCTGTCAGGTAGAACTCTCAGAATGGAAAATTATGGGATTTGTAACTCGAAAAAACAATCTGAAAATCCCCTATCTTGTGGTGAAGTCAGTCTTATTTGAACCAAGGTTTGTTGTACCACCTACAACTATGGGTTGATCCTGGCTTCTTTATACAACTTTAGCTTTATACAGAAGAGCGGGCAAGGCATGGAAATCTAGGGGCCATTCTCCCAACTCTAGACCTTTTGAAGGCCGTTCCACCATCATCAAATGAAACTGGAAGTATCTGGAACCCAGTCTTTTTTGTAAAATTAAGACAATATAGGTGGGGTGGGCTCACATTGTCTCTGATGAGAACCACATCTTCTAGAAAGTTGTGGAATACTTGATAGGGGCATGCTTCTTTTCCTTCTTGACATCTTTGGGACCAAGAGAAATGGTCTTGGAGGTGCATGATTCTCAATTTGTGGTATATTTTGGGGTGTGTGTGTGTATCTTTTGTCATGTTGCTTACCCCAGATAGAGCTAGTTTTATTACCCCTTAATCTGGGTCACATCATTGTTCACCTGCTGTCTCTGTTGTGTAGAAACCATCTCGAGAGCCTGCCTGAGTGGGTTTGCGACAGCCGAAAGTTGGAAGTGTTGGATCTTGGCCACAATCAAATACGGGAACTGCCTGCACGGTGAGTCTTGCTGACATACATAACGAGGAAGAAGATACACAATTTAGAAATAATTGCTGAGTCAGTATTTAGCTTGTTGCAGTGACAACAAGGCATGTGTGTTTTGTTTTACCTTCTGCTTGGTTTTTTGTTTTGTTTTGTTTTGTTTTTTTGGTCAACTCATGGGCTGTCGTCATGCCATAAGCTTCCACAAGGTCTTTCTTCTTCGCTTCCACACAGACTAAAACAAAACATGCAGTCTTTCTGAGTTCCAGGCAGAAGTGCTAAAGTAGCCCATGCAGCTGTTCAGATTTATGAGGCTCCACTCTGCAAATATTAAAATAGTTTTTGCCAGCAGCTGGGGAAAAATAAATTTTGCTTGTAGGATTTTTAAATAGGTGTTTTAGCCCAAGGGAGTGTGAATAGAAGAATCACACTGTTGCCGGCTGATAAAAACCTCATCTCTGATTATAGATATACCATAGATACAGATATATACCTATAATGATGCTTATCAGATGGATTACATGATAAATGTTATGGAGCAAGAGGTTGCAATAAATTGGTCACTGCATGTCAGAGTCTGTTCCAGAATTTCTAGTGCATGTGAAAAATATAGGCATGCTTTGAAAACGCCTTGTATTGGACTACTAGAGATATAATAGTTTTGATCATTTTGTGAAATGTTGTGGGGAAATCTGGGTAGTATAGAGGACTTATGAATGGAAGGAAAATGGTGGCTTATTGAAGATTCATGGTTGAAAGGCAAGACAAAATTCATTAGGATGAAGACTTCTTTGTAGAGATAAGGTAAAGGTAAAGGTTCCCGTTGTCAATTTTGGTCCAGTTGTGTTCGACTCTAGGGGGCGGTGCTCATCCCCGTTTCCAAGCCATAGAGCCAGCGTTTTTGTCCGAAGACAATCTTCTGTGGTCACATGGCCAGTGCGACTTAGACACGGAACGCTGTGTAGAGTTAGCACTGCTTAATACTTTTAGACTGTAATTTATAACTGTGAATTGCTCTGCCCAACTCTATTTTATTTGGTATCTCACAGACATCAGGTTCTAAACATTAGGCATCGCTAACGTCTAAAAAAAATCTAGTATACAATACTCAACTTTTACTATTTTATTTCCATTTTATAAACAGTTATGTCAAGAAGTGTTTGACTGTGACTCCCACATTCTAGCCTGCAGGCTGTTGTGTATGCCAGCTAGGAATTACAGTTTTTGCAATTCAGCACATCCAGAGGTTGGAAGAGACCAGTGCAAAGAAGCCTTGCTGGTCCTGCCTTTTTTGTTATGACTAAGCCAGAAGTTCTTTGAATTGGAAGGAATTCAAAACTTAAGTCTTTAAGTGCCTGAATGTTTACACATTTACATAGATTACATAGCTTACTGTGGGTTAGCAGGTCAAAAGGGCCAAGGAGTAGATGCCACAAGTCGCTTCACTGGGAATTTACACTAGGCATTGTTCGCATGCTTTGTTTGGAAGGGCTAGGAGCAATTTTTTTTAAAAAAGGTAGATAAGGAATTCAGGGCTCAATACTGTCCCCCATGCTGGTAGATGCCACAAGTCGCTTCACTGGGAATTTACACTAGGCATTGTTCGCATGCTTTGTTTGGAAGGGCTAGGAGCAATTTTTTTAAAAAGGTAGATAAGGAACTCAATATTGAATCACACGTTTAGGATCAAGTGCTGTGTTTACATGAAATTGCACAGTGTGCACAGGCTTGAGTAAAGATTAGGATGGGAGCACTGTTTGGCTTCTCTTCGTTAGCGAATCTATGGCTGTACTGGTCGATGCACATGAAGTTGCCTTACACTGATGCTGGCCATCTTACTGTCTGGCTGGTGGCTGCTTTTCAGCTCTCCGACGTCACCTGATCCTCTTAACAAGAGCTGCCAGGGCTTGAACCTGGGGTCTGTAGCATGCAAGAACTGTTTGTTTGCTTGTTTATATGCCACATTCCTCCCAACAAGGGACCCAAAGCAGATCATAACATTAAAATTCATACAATTTAAAAATACTTTAAATTTAAAAAGGGGTCTTTGCTAATGAACTTGTAGTCCTCCCATAAATATCTGATGTGCTGTAGGAAGGTTTGAGAGCCAAATAAAACCACACTGGGATAATTCCAGCAGCTGGTCCCAACCAGAGTAGACATATTGAGTTAGTTTCTGAATTGTAAGTAAGGACTTATGTAAATCTTCTTTCTTCACAAGTTCCATTCTTATTGGGACTAGCAATTGGGTTATAGGCATTTGGGTTACTTCCATATAATTTTCCAAATGCATTTGTCCAAATGCATTTAGAATAAAGACACAGCAGTGTCTTTATTCTAAATATATTGTAATTGTGAACATAGTCTAGTTCCTGCCATATGATGGTACATTCAAGCCATACTTGTAGTTTTATGTATCCTCTTTTAGAAACCATCTGCTAGAACAGTACTTCTTAACCTTTGTTACTCAGATGTTTTTGGACTGCAACTCCTAGAAGCCTTCACCATCAGCCCTGCTGGCTGGGGTTTCTGGGAGTTGCAGTTCAAAAACACCTGAGTAACAAAGGTTAAGAACCACTGTGCTAGAAGATGTTATAGTGCTTGTAATAGTTCTACTGGAAAGCAAAGAAAACTGAAATTCTGGTGCAGATAGCTACTTAAAGATGAGCAGAATTTGGTCTGCTGTCTCTTAAAAGTACAGTGGTGCCTCGCAATACGAAAACAATTTGTTCCGCGAGTCCTTTCGTACGCAGAAACAATCGTCTTGCGAAGCATGGTTTCCCGCCGCAGAAACAATCGTCTTGCGAAGCACGGTTACCCATAGGAATGCATTGAAATTGCCTTCAGTGTATTCCTATGAGATGCCTCACAAGACAGATGCCATTATTTTCATCTTGCGAAAATGACTGCAAGACGAAAAAAATTATCTTGCGAAGCATGGCCATAGGAAAAGCTGTCTTGCGAGTCATGGAAAATCGCAGACACTTTCGTCTTACGAGTTTTTTGTGGCGCAAGGCGTTTGTCTTGCAAGGTGCCACTGTAAATTGAAAAGGAAAAGCAATCAATATTCCTTTTTATTGCAAAATATGGAGATGTTCTCAATAAAAATACAAGGGAAACAAACCTAGCATCCACACTCACTTATGCTGTCTTTCTAGTTGTGAAACTCATCTTACTGACTTCTGTCCTTAACTGTATAAATACAGTCAGTTCTTATTCTGAGACAACAACTGGGAGCAGTGGCACTTATGTAGATTATCTGATGACATCCGCCAGGGAAAACTTGGCTATTACAGTGGACCCTCGACTTACAGACGGCTCGACTTACAGACTTTTCGAGTTACAGACTCCTCTGGCTGCAAAATTTAGATTCGACTTGCAGCCGGAGAATCGACTTACAGACCAGAAAAAACCCAAAATGGAACAAAAATAGAATAAAAACTGCTGGTTATGGGATTAATCGGTTTTCAATGCATTGTAGGTCAATGGAGATTTGACCTACAGACTTTTCGACTTGCAGCCACCATTCCATTATGGATTAATTCCTTAAGTAGAGGGTCCACTGTATTGATTCTTTTGCAAGGATATAACCGGTGACGCCATAGTTTGTGGCTTTTGGGGGTGACGTTTGGGTTCACCTTTTAGGTGGTGGAAGTGCATAAACCCCCTGCAACATCTTGCTGGGGATGTTTGTCTGTGTGTACATTTTCCAGTGTGAAAAGGGTAGTGGAGACTTTCTCTGTAGTGCTGAGTGAATCTTTGATTGAAAGAAGGGTCAGCTGTGGGGCATTGGCGCCTCCTGATTAAAACATACAGCCACAGGGAGACCAGGGCAGGTGGCAGACGAAAATAATCTTCCTTCTTCAGTAAGGGATTCCCCACTGCTACTATCCCACTATCATCACCCTCCTTTTTGTTAGGGGAAAAAAAGAGCAGAGCTTGACAATTTACAGAGCAGATTGCATGGTGGGGCTTCTTTTCCCGGCTATTTATTTGTTTTGTTTAATTAGTTTTACAGGAGCCCTATTGGCCATTTATGTGTCTTGTAAAGCAGCAACTTGTTTTCTTTCTCTTTTCCCTCCTCCTCCTCCAGGAAACTGAGTGTTTGGCTGCCCATAGCATGCAAGAGCTCAAGACACTAAAGCCGATTAGATGAATTTCATTCCCTGTAGAACTAGAAGGAGGCTTTATGTTAGTGTGGTATTAGGAGAGAGAAAAATTGAGGAGGGGGAAGGAAGGTTGTGGGGATCAGATCAGATTCTTGAGTGGAGAATGTGATGGATGGCCAATGTTTGTTGAAGCCTATATTTTTCATTATATGGCTAAGATATTGTTGGTGAAAACAAAATGGCCTGCTTTAGATATATAATCCTAAAATAAGCTCTGGACTTCTCACTCTCCAACTCCTCCCAACCCTGCTGTGATGAGGAGGAGATGGAAAGTATTTGGTTCTGTCTAAACTTACCATAGTTTTCTATTACATCCAAAGTTATCGAAACTATGGCTAGTTTAAACCCTAGTTTGTGCAGAGAAGTCAAAAACAAACCACGGTTTCAGATCTTTGTGTACATAAAACTAACTGCAGGTGTCAGCCTGGACATATGGACAGTTTGTGGCTGATTTAGACAAGGAGGCAAATGCGTTGGTTTGTTTGTTATATAGACACCTGCTCCATTCTGTAAAGAGGCCCTGAGAGGATTCTACCACATGTCTCGCAGCTCAGTTTACAGTGAATAAAACATTTTTGTACACAATTAACAAAAGAGTACAGCCTCTTGAATAAAAGAGTGAAACTAGGGTTTTCCTTTAAGATGTATAGAAGGCTACAAAGCCAAGAATTTCTTGACTAAAATTACCTGTTAGGTTAGTTCTACAGCTTTTTTTTTTTAAAACACAGCATTATATTGTTAAAATGACTCCTAGCATTTGTTGTCTGTGTTTGTGTACATAATAAAAAACTGCTGTGCTAAGATGGAGATACGGAAGTGAAGGTTGCAAGCTAAGAACGGTACTTTGAACTATAGCAGTAGTTTGACAATCTAGTTGTTGCAGTGGCTTTGGATTGTTCTCTTATTCTGTCAGGTGGCCCCCAGGGGTAGGTTGTCATACTGATATGCCTTCAAATGACAAGGATGTGTAGGCTGAGGCCAGGCTGCCCAGAAAATGTTTTAGAGAGTAGGAATTTCAGCTTAATTTTCCCACTTGGAAGCCCAACATTCAGCTGTAGTGGATGACCATAGCCTATGTCAGCAGAGTTGTGAACCTTTCCCTGAACCAGCCCAGTTCATGAAAAGGTTGTTGAGAATGTCAGTGGTAAAGAAGAATAGGAGTTGCATAAGAGATGTTGTACCGTGAACACTTTAGTTTCATGTGATCTACCGAACCTTAGTATGCTTCCTTGTATGTTTCCTTCATAAATGTAAGGCTGTTTAACTGCATTGTGATGAGTTTGTTGCATAATCTGACCCCTACATGAGCAAGCTAATTTATGCGGCATAATTTATTTCTGATCCCTAGAAGGCTGTTGAGTACAGTGTTGTTCTGAACAAACAATTCCTGTCTGTTGTCTTAGGGAGCACACTGTTCAGAGCAAAGCCTTATTTAGTGTGTGGCATTGGGTGAAAATAGATGAAGGGACTTTGTTTTGTTTGAATGAATAGTATCATTTCCACAGTGAAGAGGGATCCTGAGTTGCTGGATATTGTTTCCTCTGCAAAATTGCTTGTTGGACATTTGCTTTAATTGGTGTTCTATGTTTATTGCTCATGCGTCTGTTGTGTTTTTTTCCCCTTCTACAAGATTATTTTGCAACATCAGTTTGCGGAAATTGCTTGCTGGACACAATCAATTAGCAAGGCTACCAGAGAGGATTGAACGAACACACGTGGAGGTCCTGGATGTGCAACACAACCTGCTTACAGAGCTGCCATCTAATTTGTTGCTGAAAGCTGACAGGTAATCCAGAGTACAGCGACCTTTGGGCAAAACAACTGCAACTTTTGTTTTCTCAAAAAGAAGATTTGGTAAAAGCGTAAGATATGATTCCATTAAAAAGCTTGTTGGTTTATTGTATTTTATACTTGGGGTGTAATTTTCAAAAAAAAGCAGTTATAAGGGAAGTGCAATATGCTTAAGGTTACGGTTTACATCAATGGCTGTAGACCTCTGATCCTCTGGGTGTTGTTGGACTGCAGTTTCCATCCACCCATGCCAGCATACCTGATGGTGGGAGTTGTAGTCTTAACATCTCAAGGGCCATATGTTTCTTACCTCTGATTCATAGGAATATAAAGTAGTAGAAATAATTGGCCCTGGTATACCCTGTGTCTACATGAGTAATGGTTTATCTTTGGACTGACAGACAGTAAGCACAGAATATCAGCTGACTTGCCGATACAGTGGATAATCTCCCCTCTTGAAAAGGAGTACGGTTGACCGACACGGTGGAATTTACTTCTGGATTACACACAGTGTAATGCACACTGGAATACACACAGTGGAATTTATTTCTCAACCCTACTTCATAGGGTTGAGCTGAATTGTTCCTGTCTGCATGCTAGTTGGGAAAGATAAGATTGTTCTCTGATGCTGCAGAGTTCTTTGGTCCCATTGGAGACTACCAGTTCACTGTAAGCCTTCGTCAGTTTGTGATCATTCACATTCTTTATGTGTGTTTTATGTGTCGTTAAGTTGCATCTGACTTACAGCTAATTTAATAGGGTTTTCGAGGTAAATGGAATATTTAAGGAGTGGTTTCACCAGGGCCATTAGCTAATTTAGTAGGGTTTTCAAGGTAAATGGGATATTTAAGGAGTGGTTTCACCAGGGCCATCCTCACTTCTGTGAGTTTCCACAGCTGAGTGGACATTCAGGCCCCAGCCTCCTGAGTCCTATAGTCTGACTCCCCCCCCCCACTGGTTACCACTTTACTTTAGTGGGTGTATTTGTTCCACAAGAGTCTTTGTTTTTTTCTTCTTCTTCCATATACAGTGGTGCCTCGCATAGCGACGATAATTGGTGCAGCAAAAATCGCTGCAAAGCGATTTCGTCGCTATGCGATTTTTAAAAGCCCATAGGAATGCATTGAAACCCATTCAATGCGTTCCTGCGGGCTTCAGACTCACCTTTAAACGAAAATCCTCCATAGGGCAGCCATTTTCGCTGCCCGGTAAGTGAGGAATCCTTCCGAAAAAACAGCGGGCGGCCATTTTTTTTACCCGGTGGCCATTTTGGAACCGCTGATCAGCTGTTAAAAAATCATCGCTTTGCGATGATCGGTAATCGAAACAGGGTGCAAATCGTCGCAAAGTGATTTTTGCCCATTTAAAACATCGTAATCCGATCGCAAAAGCTATCGCAAAAAGTTAATCGCTATGCAATCGTAAAATCTTCATCGTTATGCGATTTTGTCATTAAATGGGGCGCCCGTTAAGCGAGGCACCACTGTATTGCCTTCATGTAACCTAGCATGTGGTTTATAAATTACCTGTTTTATCAGTTATATTTTTGGTGCTGGACCCGATGACTTGCATCCCTTCTGCTCTGAGATGTTGGTCTAGACTTTGAACTCTTGTTAGCATCTTGAAAAGACCTTAGCTTTTAATTTTAAACCAATCTAATACTCAAGTCAGTTAATTGAGCAATGAGTAGGGGTCCTCTTCTTTTGTGGTTCAGCCATTGGAAAGCCTTTTTTTCATTTTTAAATCTGGAGGCAATTTAGGATCTCTCTCATTTGGTGAATTCTCATGCTCTGGAACATTTTGAGCATAACTTTTTTGTGGATTAAAAATGTCCTGTTCCTATAGTTCTGCTTGGCCCACCACTGCTTCTAAATAAACCAAACTTTTTAACAAAAATGTTACAAGCATACATTAAATGATAAACTGTATTAGTGAAGATTATTTTATGGAATGCATGTGGGTTTTAAAATGGCGGGGGCAGGGGTGCATGAGAAACCCAGCATCTGTCTTCTGGTGTCTGCTTGTTTGCGTCTTATAATCTGTTGTAACCTTCCATGCTGATTTAAGGGTTTTCTTATAGCCCACACCTTAGTGGATTATTGAATATATCTTGAGTGGTGCTGATTCAGTTCATTGACCCACGTACTTCAGCACTTCTTTCGCTGATAGGCGGTGGCTCTTCAGGGTTTTAGGCAGGAGTCTTTCCCAGCTGTACTCAGAGATGCTGGGAATTGAACCCACAACCTACAGAGCATATGCTTTGCCACCGACATACAACTCCTTTTGTATCGTTATAGGTGATAGTTGTTCAGTTGTCATTAGAGTACTTGCTCACCTTCTAAGCTTTCTGAGGTACTGTCATGCTTTTGGATATTCTGAGGAAACAGAGATAACCGTTCATTCTCTTACCTTCTGTGTGGGTTATTCCACAATATGAAGAAAGAAAAATGATGATTGGCATATGTATCAGAGTATTCACTTTCACTCTGGAATCTGTATATTGGGGAAACAAATCTTCGATTTATTGAACAATCACATGAGAGAGCTGATTGCCTCTGTTATTAGATGGGGGAGCATCCCTAGTACTAAAAAGAACTTCACTTTGACCAAAATTGCTGAAGTTAGGGATTATAATGAAGTAAACAAAATATTAAAATAAGTACAGTTACTAGTTCTAAAGAAATCCCTAAAAGAAGATGGTGTATGTTATTGTGGGTGATACTGTGTCTCCCAATGGGATTTCCATTACTCATTCAAATCGGCTTTCCTGTAGTTTGATTTATACTTCCTGACCTTTTCCAGGTGGCTTGGTGTACAAATCCCACAACTGAGTTGCTGCAGTGAAGGCTACAATTTGTAGTCCACAACATATGGAAAGTGTGGGGGTCGGGGAGACGGCTGCTCTGAACATCGGCTAGAAACCTGAACAGTTAATCTTGGGTGCAGACGTGCACCTCTTCTGCTCTTCTTCCCCTGCCCTCCCATTCCAAGCATTGGATTATTTACTCACCCTTCAAACGCCATGGAATGTTTTTCTGGACTGAAAAGGCTGACAAAGGAGGATGTTTTTATTCTAGTTTGAGGACACGGGGGGCATTTCCACTAAGAGGTTGCAGAGTCAATGCGATACCAAAGTCCAACAATAAGTAGCTAGAAAGGTCAGATAGTAGATCAAAGGTGGAAACTTGGACATGTTTAGAGTGCCCCATACACAGAACGTTTTTATTCACTGGTGAATGGTGGATGTGCTCTTTTGGATGTTTGTTCTTTAGTTCTCAGAAATCTCCAGGAATTGTAGCCCAGAAACCGAAATCACCACACATATAGGTCTCACCACCACCCCCAGGGCGTTTGAGTGATTTACCTATACCGTTGGACTCCTCCAGCTTTCTTGTTGCCTGTGGTTGGTTTATAATAAAAGGACACTGCTGTGGTGTTTTTTTTGAGTGTGTAGTCTTGCTGCCCATTAGAATTAATAGAGGGGTCCTCCCGAAGAACTTTACCTCCACAGAAGGACCACAACAGTTCCCTTCCCCAAACAAACCAGCCACAGGAAACAGGGAAACTTGAAGGAGCTTGATGGTGTAGGCAGATCACTCAAATGGCGTTCTTTGGGGGGGGGGAGGACCTACAATTGTGCTAATTTTGGTTTCAGGGCTGCAGTTCTGGAGGTTTTAGACATTTCTGGGAACTGAAGTACAAAGATTCAGAAGAGCACACCCCTGTTCAGAAAAATATTCTATATATGCTCAGAAGAATTATTGGAGAAATCGGGAAACTGGACTCCAAAAATCTGAACAAGTACCGTATTACTGCATTTTTCAATGTATAAGACGATACTTTCCCTAAAATAGTTAGAGCAAAAATGGAGGGTCATCTTATACACTGAAGTAAGCCGAACCCCTGGCATGCAGAGGCCTCTCTGTGGGCACGCGAGCCATGCCGATGCTGCTGCCCATGCCAGCCCAGTGCAGGGCACAGCGCCACTTGTTGCCGAGGTTCAGTTCAAGCTCGGGCCGCCTTGCCCCCTGCCCAAAGGGAGCCTGGAGTGTCGCTGGACAAAGCGACCGGGCAGTGGCAGCAGCAGGAGGAGGAGGCGAAGAAGGAACTGCGCTTGGCCACCCCTCGGCATGCATTGCAGTTGCCCATTGACTGCGACTCCAGGGCCGCAGGAGGGCGAGCAAGCGGGGTGGAGCACAGTGCAGGAAGCCCAGGCAAAGGCCCTGCCTATATTTGGGGAGGGAGGCGTTTCCCTGGGCGGCTCTCTGGAGGATGTGCCAGCCTGGAGGGTGCCCGTTGATTTGGACGCTTGGGCTCAAAAGGGTCAAAATGGAGGGGGGGTTGTCGTGTTATACATGGGGACATCTTATACACGGAAAAATACAGTATATCTCTGCTTCTGAACAACTGCATTCCCTGCCTCTCCGCCTCTATAAGTATCAGTCATAGGGCCCATTTTGTGCATATGGGGGTAGAGATCCCAAATATAATCCTAGGAGCTTCCAGTTTGAATTCCAGTGGCCTTCATCGGGGTGGGTCTCAGCAGCCCATGCATTTACCCAAAGTGATTCTGGTGTCATTACATTCTGCCATCCTTGTGCACGTGCATGCATGAGCACACACATACACACACACACCTCTTGCATTCAAGGAAGCCTAGTTTGATGTCGTCGCCGTCATGCAATCTGCTTCTTCTCTTTGTCCTGGTTGCTCATAGTCTTTCTATGGCTAATTAGTTAAAACACCTTTACATTTTCTTTTTTATTTATTATTTATTTATTTAACTTATATGCCGCCCACACTTTTAGCTGGTATTTTTTTAAAAAGTCACCATTTTAACTGTTTTTTTTTTAAAATAATTAATTAAAAATATATTTCAAGCTTTGGTTTTGCCACATACAGTACTTCCTTGTCTGCACTCGATCTTTCCTTTTGATCCATCTCTCTAGTGCTGTTTTGTTTTTTCTCCCTTCCTTCTTCGCTTTCTGTACTCTT